AATTTTATAAGCCTTGATGTTTTGTAATTAATTTTAAAGATAATCCTAAATACACACTCCAACTAAGTACAATTTTATGTGTGATTATTAAACTTTTTTCTGTTCGATTCGAAATTATTTCTGAGATATATTAAGCCCGACGGGAGTATAATTCCTCAAATCTCAAAGTGGCAGAAAGGATAGATCCAGACCTTATCGACCTGGGAATTTGTGAAGTCGGCGAGGTTCGGGCCAGAGTTGATGAATGAGCCGGGAGAGGCGGGCAACCTTCCAGGACTCCTCAGGTCGTCTCCTCCAAGTATCCTTAGATAGATCCCTTTTACAAGTGCTGCGATTATAAGAGAATGTTGAAAATTTTACGATATAGTGTAAATAACCTAATAAAGTTTAATTTTAAATAATTTGTTTTGGCGATAATTGGGAATACCCTTCCACTTTTATATCGGGGAACTAGGTTATTTACATTCGTGATTATTAAAACAAAACCCCGGCACTGGATATTGACTTTTTGAGGGTGCTTAACTGTCGTTGGGAATTCGAGAATCTAATACCTTTTGTGGCAAAAAGCAATAAGAATATATATATATAATGTGGGACTTAGTAAATACACTTTGAATGAATTTACTCGCCTGGTTTGTTATTCTTCAATTGTGAGGCCTATACGATAACTAAATAAATAAATGACTTTTCACTCCTGTCTAACAAAACAAATCATTTTACAACTGTAATAAGTGAATCTATTAAAGTCTTATAACTGTAGGTTTGATATTCTTGGTCTTCAATGTCCTGCCTCTTTCATCTCAGGTAACGTCAACACACCTCCCTGTCTCAGCCTCAAGTCCTCTTCTCTCCCTCGGCGTCCTCCTGCAGTTGTTGCTACCTGGTCTGTCCTTTTTCATCGATTTTTTGTCGATATGAGACTTTGCAATGAATAATTTGTCCACTGCATAATTTAGTACAATTCATCGTGCAACCTCACATTCCTATATATTTCTTCTCATTCCCAGACACAATGTCACATAAAGGAGTAAATACCGGGGGATGTCTACTACAATAGTGTAAAATTGTATTATTACCGGTTTGTTTACAGAGATTATGCTCAATACATTGCCCATTTTCCTTCAGGTTTTATCGCTGACAAATTATGATATTATTTAGTTATTATAGTTCAGAACAAATCAGCTTGAGGAATTAAAAATCGTTTCCCAAAAAAATGCTAAACCCTCATGGGTTCACAGATAAGCATGCACCTCCTAGAACTTAAATAAAACTTACAAGTACATCTAAAATTATTAAAGTTCAATAATGAAAGGACAAGAATATCGGATTCCAGAGATTAATTTCAAAAGTTAATCCATGTATTGCCGGAACATCACTTGATTTTCACTGAATGATTCAAATTCAATTCAGCATCTTCGTTAGATTTTAAAGACCAAGGACTCCACTTATAAAATAAAGCTGCATTAGTTCAATATTATTAATTATGCAAAAATGAATGCCATCGCAACTGCATTATATTATTCCTGTGAACTGCCTTTCAGAATTGTATAAATTTCTTCTTACTCGAAGAGTGTATGGATTCTGATATTCGAGAAATCCAATGAATAAGTGAAACTTGAAAATTTATGAGTGGTGGTGGAAAATCGGTTCATTATATACTATCTTGTACATTTGCAGTGGATTCGAATTGAAGTGGATCATTAAAAATAAGATGAAAAAAGCAACACTTAATTTAATGATTTTAATTTTTAAAAGGTCATATACTTGTACATGTATAGAAGTAATAAATAAAGAAAATTCACTATAAGGGAACTGTTTACATTGGCTTTTTGGAGGTAATTTTTATTTGTTTTAGTAAATAGTTCGTCCTATTCGAGCATTAATCACGTCTTGAATCACGACGAGGATTGCTTCTTATTATCATTTCGATGCTGTCTTGTGGGTCGTATCCAATTCCTCCAAAAGTTCTTTATGCAGATTTTGAAGGAATGCATTTAAGAGTCTTTATCTTTGTGATATAAAAACGAATTCTTGTCCATTTGTTTCTACCATAGGTTTCATTATTGGTGCTAAGACCCTTTCCAAGTAACGCTCAGCAGTCATACTCACATTTCATAATACCTCATTTCGTGACACCACAAGATCTGTTGAGCACGAGGATATACTACCTCACATTAAAATAGAGCCTCCTCAAAACGGGTAAACACAAAAGACCAGGAAAGGATTCTATTGCTCGCCAGATCTTTATGCATCTCTTGCTTAATGAAATGGCTGAAAAAGCAGCTATATAAGCGCTCTCTCCCATATCGTGGTAGAGTCTTTCTCACACCATCAAAACTCGCACGTTCAATGAAAGAGAATATCCATAAATAATGGTATGACAAACGAACTCTTATTTATAATGAAACCTGAGAGCTCCTCAAGTCGTTATCCGACTATATACGCTTTTGTATCAATTTTCGCTAATCTTACATATTAATTTATGAAATTATTGGAGTTAGTTCTAATAGAAAAATACTACAAATTATTACACACTGGTTTATTATTTCCCAACAATTCAACATCAAAATTAACATTACTTTCCATATAACATAAAGGAAAAGAAATAAAAGGCGATTCATAATATTGGCCAAAATATATATATATTTTTTTCATCAATGATAATTTAATGAGAAAAATATTTGAAACATATGAATAATATTTAGAACACCATATCTTTGTCCCATATGGTTCCGTTTCAACGATTTTTTTAGGAAATTTCGTAAACTTTAAAAAAACATACACCACGTCAGCAAAAAAGTGTATACTTATTGAGATATTTGGAAACCTAATTTTACCAACCCTCGTAACTTTTTTTCAAGCTTCATTTCGATGAAGTACGTCATATAAATAAATTTAAAGGGTTAAGTTTATTCATGTTTCATTAAAATTGGTACATTCGTTTAGGCGCTGCAGTCCATACCAACACATGTTTTTCGGCGACAATATCGAAAAGGACCGGCAAATAGTAATGCCGATATAGGAGAATCATCCTCACGTGACTTCTGACTTTGATTCCAAATTTGAAAAAAAAATCGGTTCAGTAATCTCGGAAAAAAGCCGCGGACCATTTGGAATTTTTCGGATGATTACAATGGTCATTATCAGTAGAAAAAAAAGGGCCTTTTTAGTCTCAAGAATTAAAATACTTTATTTTAAATTTATCCAAATTTACTCCTCTTCAGGCATCATCAGGGATAATGTCTGTTTTTAACAGAATCTGTTGTGTGATAATTTCGATTATTACTTTATTTTATTCCGATTCATTTCTTTTTATTTATTTATTGATAAATCTATGAATAGTTACAATTTCAAAATTCAAAATGTAGCAAAAGAGTAATACATGTGATTGTATTTTTTTAAAATTATAGTTACAGTTAATTACAGTTTTTAATTACATAAAACAAGTAATGAAACATGACGTATTGTAATCACCAGAATTTCTAGTTTTCTCCAACCAAAACAAAATGATGTTAAAAGTTACATTTCGCTAGGAATAGTCATTGACAAAATCTTATAATAATACTTTTAAGTTCTCAAAATCCAAAACCTCAACGATGAAACTTGTTACTATTACGTTTAAGTCACACATCCTCTGCGGAATGAATCTGTCTGGCTTCGGACACTAATAGAGGTCGGCTCATCACGGTCGAATCCCAGTTCTATTTAAGGAATCGGCAAAACGGAAGAGATCATTTTATTTGAGAACGAGCATTTTATTTGGCTGTAAGCCAATATTACAGAGTATAGGTGCACCATCTGCCATTGTTGCATATCATTTTACGTTGTTAAAGTGACCAAACGGCTATATAAAATCATTCTTACACAATTAGTTTATTGAAGTCATAGCATATTTTTGTTTGTCACTGGGACATCTACATTAGCGGAGCAAAGATTGGCTGAGCTCCAACGCAAATGTTTCCTTCTAAATACTATTTTTCTCATTAAACAGATCAATGTCAGGTTTCTGAAGATTTGATGTAATCTAAATCTTTACTTAAACTGATCTCTGAGAAAATGTTATCAAGATACAGGAAACTATTTGTTGTTTCTATGACCAGTTGCTTTTCATTTATGTTTTAAGGTTTTTTACCGTTTGGTTGAAATGTTTTTCAGTAATGCTGTTAATGTATTGCGCTTTTTTTAATGTTTTTTATAACAACAACCTGATTGCTAAGATCTTTATGATCTTGATAAGAACTTTATCAAATATAACTCAACGTTCCAAATCTTTGTGGAAACAAAAACTAAATCTTAGTATAGCTTCTTGTGTTTAATTATTAAATTGAACTTCCATTATTTTCCGTAAACTATACGAATGGAAATAAATAAACTTTTGCAGAATTCTTTTCACCCAAAATTCGAAGCTCTTGTTCTATTTGTGTAACGACCAATCATTGAGATTAATAAGAGGCTTCTAAAACATTCTTTAAATAGTAATCAGATACCACCAATATTTTCTTATCGTCTTCATCATTAAAAAATGTTGTAATAATGGCTGCCAGACCTTCATACCTAATTATACACAGAGGTTCCCAGGCGCGTGTTACGCCATCAAAAATTTTGAGAGGGCTCTGACCACAGTAAGTGTAATTGTATATGAACTAAAATTTTCTGATTCTATTTTTTCTTGCACAATTTTTAAGAAGAGAGAATTAATGAAATTTCTTGGGAGGAAGGAGGGTCATAAGCCATCGACCTGGGGGAGATGAGCATTTCTGATTATAAGTTTCACTTCTCTAGCCCCTATACCTTCCTTCTCCTTACTCTCAGGAACTAAGTCGGCTGTCTTGAAGAGTTTGAAAGGAGCTCGTTCTGGCATTTTGAGCTATAGGAATTTTGTTGGATTATAAATCATTTTATAAAATCCTAGAGTTTAGGCGTTATTTTTATAATATTATTGTACGAATCACTATTTTTATAATTCTAATTTTTTTCTCTTGCATTTAACGCTGTTTAAGATGGCTATACAGTGAGTGACGTTGTAATGTACTGGAAGGACACACCGGTCAGGGGTGTTGAACAAGCTGAATTACCTCAGTTCACGATCATCGGTTACGAAACGAATGACAGGTAACTTTTAGCAATGCTGATTCAAAAATTATATTTATTTATTTTTACCCTTATTACAAATCATTTTTAAAGATCAATAAATTTTCAAATGTCTTATTGACATATATTTGTGATGTCCGTATTATGTTCATATCTAAAATCCTTGGAAAATTGTCACAACTTTCGTTTTACACCACAATCTACAAGATACCTACAAATATAGTTTAACACAGGCGGATTTACGGGGAAAGGAGATTCGGGCTGAAGCTCTCCCTCCTAAAAATGGTAAAATATGGAAGAAAATATTAAATAATTATCTCTAAAAGTATTATTATTCGTGTAATTAAATTCAATAGGATTTCAATAACATAAACACCATTCCATATAGTTAGTTAGTACCTTTCTTCTTATTGTAAAATAATAATCGTTATATATATATTAGATGAACGATGCTGTAGCTCTATAAAACGCCCATTTGCTCAGTTTTTACCTACGGTAGCCCAACATGAATCTTAACCAAAAATTACGAAAAAGACATTTTGTTCTTTAAAAGGAAAATCCTGAGAAGAATATTTGGCCATGTAAAGGAGGGACGGATTGGAGTATTCCAAAGAATAGAGAGGTCAACGAATTGTTATTGGGTGGGACATACAGCTCAGATGGAGAGGTCTGATATCCCGATAAGAGTGATTGAGGAGCCTTTACACTATACGAGGAGAGCAAGCAGACCGAGATTAAGATGGGCAGATGATTGTGGCAGGTGATGCTAAAGACCTGTTGGAAGTTAGAAACTGGGAAGTGGTGTTACAGAATAGAGAAATTTGACAGAAGCTCATTTTTGGGAGGGGGGAGTAGTCCTCCCCTTCTTCGCTTTTAAAGCCTTAACACAGGATTTTCTCAGGCCAGGAGTTGTGGGTGGGGATTTAAAAGACTGTCCATGAACTCGAGACTATTTTATATCAATTTTCCCACATATAAGGTTGCCCGGCAACGACGGTGCTTTGCACACACGTTAGCTCGTCCGGCCACACCGCCGGATGAACGATGCTGTTAAATTATTGCTGTCTTTTTTTAAAATTATAGTTACAGTTAATTAATGTTTTGAATTACATAATTCAAGTGGGTGGAATTTTTTGCCTGTCAGTGTATATATATATATATATATATATATATATATATATATATATATATATATATATATATATATATATATATAAAGCTTTCGGCCTGAAGCTCCTCCCCCCAACGAGCGGTACGTTCAGAAATTTGCACACCTCGAACTTCTTCGAGCTGATGAATCGCTTGAACAAAGGTAAGGTGCCGGTTTCGTAAAATTCTCAAAGTCAAAAACCGGTCATCCCGTGGTTCTGTTACCCTAGGCCGTCCAGAATCGGGTCTTCTATTGTAAGAACCAGTTTCCCGAAAACACCTGACGGCGTCTCGTAAAGTTTCATATGGAACTCCGATGACATTAGCTGCATATCTAATGGCGCTTCCATCATCAATAAGTACCACACCACGCGCAACATCCTCAGCACTAAGAGCCACTAAGAAATGTGCAGCAAGAAACGGCACTGAACTAATGATACTGAATAAACATTTTGATTCCATAGAAAGTAAACATTGGAATCTAGAATCATTTCATTTAATTAAGGATTAAGGGTTACTGTCGTCTATATTAACATTCCTAATTGAAAACAAACAAAAAGATTACCTATTTATCCATTAAAAACAATAGACCAATCCAATCAGAAATATTTTTAGATGAAAAAATCAAGTGGGTAGAATTTTTTGCCTGTCAGTGTATATATATATATATACAAAGCTTTCGGCCTGAAGCTCCTCCCCCCAAATAAAAAATTAAATCCTGGATCCGCTAATGTAATTTAACAACCGTTAAACTGTATTCTAGCGCTGTTGAATCTGTGAAAAATGTATAGTAATCAACAATCTTTAATGCCCAAAATGATATAGAATCATCCAGTGTATCATAAAGAAGCATAGTTTTATCTCTATTTGAAAAATTATACCACCCCTCACTGTTACAACAAACTCTTGATAATTTATCAATTTTAATATTCGTTTCGGAAGCTAAATAAAATCTCTTTCTCTAAACCAATTGTATGTGCTACTTTGTACGGAACTTATAACAAGTTCAAAAAGACCTTAAACTTATTTGTTTTATATTTCTATGATTTATTAGTTTTTACTTCTATTGGTAACTTACACTGGAAGTGTTTAAAGTACGGAAAGGAATTCTTTAAATAGGAAGTAAATACAGAATTATAAGTAGGGATATTGACAATATATCTATACAAAATATGAGTAGATTTAATATTATTTCAAAAATATAAGTTTTACACCAAATTAATGCTATAAATGTGCATTTACTCCTAAATATTAACTTAAGTTTTATTACAGATAACTCTGACCTTATTTGTTACAGAAAGGAGAAGCTGGCTACAGGAATATACCAGCGGTTATCACTTTCCTTCAAACTTCAGAGAAACATCGGTTATTTTGTGTTTCAAACATATTTGCCCTCCATTCTCATTGTCATGCTATCTTGGGTCTCCTTTTGGATCAACCATGAGGCAACTAGCGCCAGAGTTGCTTTAGGTAGGAATATTTGCTGCTTATTTCTGACTTTAACATGAAAGAAAGACTACAGAAAACAATAAAATAAAATGTATAAATAGTATATATAATCAATCATAATGAAATATAAATTATTTATTAGTTATATAGCCAACTTATTATTTTAACATTATTGGTACATTTTGGGGTCTTTACCCCATCATCGACCTACATTTATTTCTGTAATAATACTCAAAATAATTTTGAAATATAAATATTCGCATTATATTAAAATAAAGTAATTCGTAACATAATAATAATTAATATCCGTAGTTAATACATAGTTAATCTAACTAGTACTACTAATTGGCCACATAATATGTTGGTGAGTGAATGAATGACTAAATAATATTGAAATAAGATAATGTAATGGAATGCAATTAGCTGGAGGAATTAATTTTCTTTCCCTCTTTCAATTACAATGGTTCATTCATAAAAATAAACCAAAATTGGGCCAAATCTTTCTATTCTATATGGATGATTTTTTTTTTCGTTTGGACCATAATCAGTACTTATTCAAAAAATCATGTTTGTGATTTAATTTTGTGATAAATTTTAACAGAATGTGCTTTTTTTTTTCCTATCTTAAGAAGATATTCTTTAATGCTGTGGCTCAATCACTGGATTCGAAAAATAATTAAAGACATTCTAAAAAGAAAAAATAAGTTTGAGTAATTTTATAGTAAATTACCTCATTTTTATTTTTCCATGTGATGTTTCAATGTAACTTTCCGTGATTTATTCTTAATTTAATTTAACAATAATCATATAGAAACATCAAACTAGTTGATTTGTCATCTTTTTCTCATGTGAATTGCCTCTAAGGTTCTTCATTTCTAACATATTTTTCATTATCCAAGATCTGCGGATTTTTAGAATCAAATCTTTAATTTATATTTAATCTGTTTTGTGTTAGTGAAGTTGTATTTTATTACTTATGTTTTTAATATTCATACGTACTGAGTTTTTTTAGATGTTTTTGGTGAGTAATCCTTCACAATTTAATTTGTTTTTGTTCTGCACTCCTATTTTTATTTTGGTTTTTCTTTGAATAAATCCCTGCTCCAGCACCTCTAATGGCTGATTTAGCTGACCCATTGGTGAAAATGTTAAGCTAATCCTGAGGAGGGTACTTTTGAGCTATAGTTTCTATTGCTATTGTTTTTAGCTCATAGTCTGGTGTTACATTCTTTTTCACCTTATGGAGGATTTGAAGTTCTGCCTTGTCTGTACCTCTCTTTGCTTGGCCTTCAGCATTGAGGATCCTTGTTTCTTGAGCCATTGAGTTGGGATCCTGTAATTTTTCCAAAATTGTGGGTCCAGCCTTCTCATTCGCTAGTGAAGACACATTGCAGCTTGCTCATGCCGTTAAGAAAGGGGTTCTGTAAGTAAAACCTCCACCTGCAGGCTATGTGGCCTGAAGGATGAAACGGCCTATCACAGTATCTGCAAATGTGATAATTTGGTTAGACTAAGATACTTTCACTTTGGATGTGACCATATCACTGATCCCAAGCACTACAAACTGATTGATCCCATCAGTATCAATAGGTTCGCGAAGGCATCTGGCCTGTTTTAACTGAGTTTAGGACGACGCACAATAGGCTTTTTTGAGACCAGGGTGCACAAGAATGTTGGAGCAAAAAAAAAAGGGGGGTTCTGTTGTGATCTGCAGTTTGTAAGGCATCTCACACCCTGAGTGGCCTCCTATGTCTTTCCTCCAAGGGATTTTAGGAACTTAAGTCTGTTTTCCCCCTTTGCCACCGTCTCTTCAATTTCAATTCATTCTTGTGTCCAACTAAATTCCCAGGTATTTGCCTGCAAAAGTTCCTGGCAAGGAAATATTATTATAAATGACTTCTAGCTCCTGCTCTTTGGTCGATAGCGTGAACAGATGAAATTCAGTTTTTTGGGTATTTACTTCCATTTCATTAGACGAGGCTCAGGCAAAAAGTCTTGCTATTACCTCATTAATGGTTGTTTCGAGACCATGTTATGTTGCTACTGGCCGCATATATTAATATATCATCAGCGAACAGTAGAGCAGATATTCCAGGTATTCCCTCGAGCTGAGCCACTAGGTCATTTATCATTTTATTAAAGAATGTAGGACACAAAACAGATCTCTGAGGTTCTTCTTGGCTAAAAGTTCTGAAGCTTGATCACTAGCCATTGTATCTTACTCTGATAAACCTCTGAGCCAGAAAAAGGCTCGACACATTTTTCCTCCTATACACATTTTGAAGAGCTTATTCAGAAGGACTTTTCGGCAAACTCTGTCGAAAGTAGCTTTAAATTCAATAAATGATGCAAAAGTATGTTGTTTGTGCTGAAATCCATCATTTACGTCCTCACTGAAATGAGCCACCTGCTCAGTTGTATTTCTGTGCTTTTGGAAACCTGCTTGCTTTGACGACATCTTATTTTCTCTTTCTTACTCTTTGACGTTATAGTCTGCCTGGAACCTTGGCCTTCTCAACAATGCATTGCCATTCGTCTTGGTCCTTTTGCTTGTTGAGTCCTCCACCGCCTGACACCAAGCTGTCTCAAATCCACCTTAACATCCTCCAGCCAACGGAACGGTGACCTTCCTCTGTTTTGCTGTGATATCCCATATCTCACTTCTGTTTGTGATTACTAGATGAATCATCGTTTTATGAATTGTCAATCTGGCATTCCTTGATAGACACGAAACCCAATTAGTTGCTGTATGACATGAAAACATTGGCTTCCCGCAGCAATCCTGGCTCCTACCTCAGCTCCTACATCATTGTCTGCCGTCATAAGGAATCCAGGTACTTGAACTCTCTGTATACTGGAAACTCGTGTTGGTCTTAGTGTCCGATCTTGGAGAGAGTGATGTTTTGAAATCTTCATGTACATCATCTTTTTCTCATTTATTTGTAGACCTCCAGCTGCTGCAGCAGTCTAATGCACCTGCCAGCGGTGGGAGCGTCCTTGCCACAATCTCCAAGTCAACTGTGTGTGTCATGTGTTGTGTGAAGCAGTCAAAGATGGTACCTCCAGGGTTGGTCTTGGTGTAGTCTTGGGGTAGAAAAGGGGAGTAGTCTTGGTGTCTCTTTCATTACTTCCAAAACCAAAGAGAACCCCTTAGACAGCAATCCTTGTAGCTTCACTCTGCCATAGTCATTTTTACTAAACGAGTGAGCTTCTTAGATACACTCAGAGAGAGAAGATCCCTTATCAAAACCTAGCTATCCACTGAGTCATATGCCTTCTTAAAATCGATGTAGGTCGACATTGTATTTCAGTGACTTCTCTACCACACGTCGGGCGATAAAGATCGGATCAAGAGTCGATCTACCTTTCCTGAAGAAACACTGATATTCACCTAATTCCCTCTCCATGTATGATATCAGTTTCCTATCAATGGCAGAGGATAGTATTTTATAACCTATGCCAAGCTATGCCTCGATAGTTCCTGCACTCTAGCTTGTCTCCCTTCTTATAGATTGGGCATAGGACCGACACTTTTCACTCATCTGGGACCTCTTCTTCCATCCATATATCATAAATAGGTTTATGGAGCTCATCCCAAACTTCATCTCCACCATATTTGAAAAGTTCGTCCTGGATTCCGTCTATGACTGGCACCTTATAATTCTTCAGACCTTGCACAATTTTCATTATTTCCTCTTTGTTGGGAGAGAACATCGTCATCGGCTAGTACCTCGGAGTCAAGGTCTGCTTCTATTTTATTATCAGCCTTTCTACATTTTCTGTTCTGCACCAGTTAAGCAGCTCCCAGAAATGTCCCGCCCATCTGCTTCCTTGCCAACAGCTTCTTTGCCAACTACAAGATTCCCCTCCTTGTCTTTAGCAAAATTAAGACGAGGTTTACATCCTTCCTTAACTTCTCTTACACCTCCGAAGAAACTCCTGGAGTCCAGTGCATCAAAGTTTTTTGGTATTCCCTCTAATTTTCTCTTGTCAGAAAACCTTTTCTTCTGACAGCCTATCTTTTTGGCTTCTTTTCTCTTTTCCTAAAATTCTTGGGTAGTAGCTTTGGTAAGCCGTTGTAGCATTCTCCTCTTTGCTTCATTCCTTGCATCTACCTGAGTCTTGCATTCTGCATCATATCAGTCATTTCTTACTACTCTTCTGCCACTGCAAGGGCTTCTTTCATCTTTGTCCACCTTGAGTCAATGGTGAGTACTTCCTGGTGGTTGGTGAGCTTCCCTGTAACATTGGTTACAAACCTCTGCCTCACAATGGGAAATCGTGGCACACGTTTCTAAGCTCTCCCCCATGTTCTTAACGCAATCTTTTGTCTGTATTTCACCTTCACCAAATAAGGGTCTGAACAACAGACAGCTACACAAAAGCTTCTCACCTTCCCTATTTCCATTGCGTGTTTTACATGGAATAGCACATGGTCAATCTGATTGGGCGTTGGCCCATCTGGAGATACCCAAGTCTCCTTGTGTATATTCCTATGAGGGAAGTAGGTTCTGCTGACTGACATGTTCCTTTCCATAGAGATTTCAAATCCAAGTTTAATTTAAATTCAAATTCAAGTTTTCAATGGAAATGTATGTTTGATGGCCCCTTGAGTCCAAATAACCAAGTAACAAAAAAAGGTCTCTGTGTATGTAAACAGTCTAGCTCAAAAAGATAAAGTCATCAAAACTGAAATCGAGTATTCAAGGTAAGTATACGCCTTTAATAGTGTTAAAGCAACTATTCCGTCAAAATCATCCAACCAGAAATTGTACTTTATACCATCTATTTCAAGTATTTTAACAATTATCTAAAAAAAATGGCTTTACAATTTTGATTAAACTCATTACATTGAAGTAAATTAAATAGTCATAGTTCATTTAATAATTAGCCATGAAAGTATTGACCTCATTGAAATAGTGTGATAAGGCTTTAATTCGGAAGTTTCAATTTTTTTATTTCTGAAGTAGCGAAGCATTGTTAGTAGTAATATAAAATAGATAAATATAAACTATGAAAATAAATAAATAAATGGAAAAATAAGAGAAATATTTCTGCAGGTTGAAAATAAATTATCAGAAATAAGAGTATTAATTGGCTAATATATTGGAAAGCTAAATATTTTAGAAAAATGAATATCTAACTAAAAGGTTATAGAAACTAATGGGGAGTGGTAATAAACTATTGGCTTTTAATAGTTATAGTTAATAATATCATGTTTTATATTACTGAATGAGAATAAACTTTTCCATACAATTGAAATGGAATTATCATTAAAAATATTTCAAAAATTCAATTTTTGTTTCAGCTTGATAAATTAAAGCTATTTAGTGCAAAGAATTTTCATAATTTATATTATTTGATCTTCTTAAGCTAGTATTTATAATTAAAGTAATATTTTTAAGATTTATTAACTTCTTAAAAATTAATTTCTATGGAAACTAGTAAGTGAATGTTATATGATGCATATCACCAGATATTTTTTATTATGTGTTTAATATTAATTTTGCTTGTGAAATTATGAAAGTATTTACTTGAGAGAAATATCCAAAAAACTAAAAACTGTAATAACCCAGCGTATAGATAGTAAAAAAAAAAAAATAATAATAATAAAAATACAACTTTTCTGGCACAGCACAATATAAATTTAAATTAAAAATTTGATTTACAAATTTAGGTGATTAAAAATCGACAAAGTTTCAATGACGAAAAATATTTTCAAAATAGACTTTAGACTTTAAAAAGAATATCCATATCTCAAATATACATAGTTAATAAACTGAAAATATAACAAATAATCAAATATTATGAATAAAAAAGAAACTCTTATTACTTACATCCATTTAGGGAAAATAAAAAAACTACTCATGTGTTTCCCAAACAATATCAAGAATATTAACTCAAAATAATCACCTACAAAATTGTGAATAATATCAAAGAAATAATATAAATATTTGCATACTCTAAATATTATGAAAAATAAAACAAAACACTTATCCTAAAGGTATAACGACTGTCCTGACTATGACTACAATCAGCACTGGTGTGAGGAGCTCATTACCGAGGATTTCTTATGTGAAAGCCATTGACATCTACCTGGTCATGTGCTTTGTCTTCGTTTTTGCAGCCCTTTTAGAGTATGCAGCTGTCAATTACACCTACTGGGGAGCAAGAGCAAAGAAAAAGACAAAAAAGAAACAAGAGTCTGAAGATGTTGCAAGGAAAGCCAGTTTATGTGGTTAGTATAATTGTTTTTTATTTCTGATGAATAGGAAAAAATATCATGATTTTCAGTTACATTAGAACTAAAACTGTGATTAAATTAGTTTTATGGTTTACGTATTAGCACCAATCATTTAATTTGGATAGCGAGGAGAACAATCCCTATTCGAATTCTGACTTGAAAGCCATTCTCTTAAGTGAAAATGTAAGATCTGTTGGTCAAGCAAACGATCCTGATTTGCAATACAGTTCATTATAGTTACTTGTAATATAAGTGCCATACAATAGTTAGTTAATAATTCAAGGAGTAGAACACATTAATCATATTATTTCCAAAAACATCCAATGAAATTGGTTCACCCGTTCAAGAAATGTCCAAGACAAACACATATAATGTCTTTACCTATTAGTGGTAAGAAATTATTTTTTAATTTTATTTATCAGTTTTGTGTTATCTTTATAATCTTCTAAACTAAAGATATATAAAATTTCAAATTGGTCCATATTTCGGAATAAAATGGCGGGTAGTAATGTCAAGTTCCAAGGTGACCTCCAACTTATGTGCTAAATCTCAAATAAAAATAGGCACAGTAATCCTGGAGAAAAGCTGCAGATTATTTTTTTGTTTTTAGATTCTTGAATTTTAATCTTGAAACATAAAGGCTCCTATATTAACAATCTACATAATTCAATTCTCCATTGTTCCCACCACCTTTATGCAGACGATTCCCAGATCTACCATCCTTTTCTCCCCCTGAATTATTCGTAATATTTGCCAAGATTCAAGAAGACCTTGATTGAATCAGTGCCTTGTCAAATGTAAATGAATTAAGGTTAAATGCTGCCAAAACTCAGGCCATTGTCATTGGTTCCAAGGCCCTTATTAGATCCCATGCCGACTTTCCCATGTTACATGTTACATGACCAGCCAATCACCTTCTACTTCTCTGTTAAAAATTTAGGATTTTTCATAAATCAAACCCTCTCTTGGAACTACCATATTTCTCACATCTCCCAATGAACAATTTCTACCCTTAAACTATTTCATCGCTTGCGCCATCTCCTACCTCAACATATGCGTATACTCCTAATTTCCTCTCTCATCTTCCCCCACTTTCACACCAACTGTGTGGTGTATGATGGCCTCTCGGTGGAGCTCCGTGATAGACTGAAAAGACTAATAAACAGCTGTGTAAGATTTATAACTGGTGCCCCGAGATACTCCCATGTCTCTCACTACTACACTGAGTTAAAGTGGCTCTTTCCCTCCTTTAGAAGACAATATTTCCTAGGTATGTTCCTTTCTCAAATCATCAACAATCATCATCCTTCTTACGCCTTCAACCTTCTCCAATTCAAGTCCTCAATCCATTCCCTTTCCACAAGATCTCGACCTTCTGACCTTTACATCTCTTCTCCACAGATCTGCCTAATTTCAAAACTCCTTTATTGCTCGTGCTGTCACTTTCTGGAATTTCCTACCTATTAAAATTCCACATTCAATACCCTCCTATTCGAATTCCTATCCCAAAAACAGTCAGTATAAGCTCATAATACCACTGAATGCATCTATTGTTTGTTTTTTATGATTTTTTTATTCTTATACAATTAAATCTGTACCTATAGTTACAATAAGATAATGATTTGTTTACAAATTATTTATTATTTAAATACTTTGACATTTTATTTTGTCAGATTCGTCTTTCCTTTGTTAGAAGAAACACAGAGCTTATTTTAAAGAAGACCTCAATGTATTTTTTATTATTTATTTCTCAAAAGTGTATAATTATAATTTGTCCTACTGCATATAGTTTAAGTGTCTTCACATAGTTCTAAGTGTTTTGTATACAGATTCTTTTATTTTTTTAGGCCAGATGTAGTCTTTTAATTCTGTACTATTTTGTTATTCTAAAGGGACCTTGTTCCAGAATAAAGTTATTTTCTATTTCTACTTTTTTTTTCTAAAACCTCAAATGTTGAGAGAATGGATAACTTACAAACGACCTACAAAGTGGGTCGAAACGTCGGCAAAAATTAAATAATTCTACTTATTTAATTTAGTATTAATTTGACCGCATTGTTTAAGACCATCAAACATTTCAGTAATTTATTATTTTTAAATAATTAGTAATTACTTTTAGTTATGTTTCTTTGTAATTCTTAGGCATTTATAGGATTGGTTTATTATAATTTCATTTGATCTACAGTAGTACAGATATTGTTATTTTATCTTTGCCTTTCTCACAACTCTGATTATAAAATATAAGCCATTTTTCCAGTAATACAATGCTCCTAAAATTTGCTGTTATTTTCTAAAACTTCAACAACTAGACTCAGAAGACACTAAATTTGAATTTTTCTATAATTGATCTATCTATAATCTTCTTCTAATATAAAAAAAAAATCACTGACATCTATCTGAAGTATTTTTATTATATCTCATGCACTAGAATATAGCAGATCAAAGATTAAAACTAACATCAATCTCCATAGCCTTAAAAAAAAAATTGAACATGTAGGAAAATGGTTACCTTATGCTTCAATTCAAGTTCAATTTTTCAAGATTATTTTAATTTTATAATTTTGTTTTTACATTTAAGTGTCTAAGAATTAAATCCCTTTTCTTATTGTTTCCTCAGCTTTATTGATCAATGTTTTGAACGGTTTTGTTTATCTACATGACCAATTCATATAAAATAATTCTACAATTATTATTATAACCAAGCAATAGTTTTTTTATTACAAAATATTACAACCTAACTGGTGAGTTTATAATATGAAGAAAAATTGGTTTTCCTTGTCTAATGCTGTGGAAACCTATGCTTTAGTTTTTTCATTGTAAATTAAATGTGTGCAGGAAAATTTTACATGAAGTATTTTTTGACCAACTGAATATAAAAATGATTCAAGAACTTTACTTAACACTATTTTAGTACAATTTTTGTTTTACTGCTTTAACGAATATTAAAAATATATATATTTTTCTATTTAGCTCATTTACCTATTATTTTATTAACCTTGTGAAGGTGTTCATTCTTCATGTTATCATTTTCTATTTTGAATTACTATTAGTGCTCTATATTACTTCTTATCCCTCAGTGGTAACTGATTTTTTGGTCTACTGATATTTATTTAAAGAATCACTGCATCCTTCAGCAGGGAAGTCCTCATCGACAGTGTCAGATGGATTTGCTGGTAGCAGTGGAGGAGCAGCTGATGAAATCATTGAACTTCAGGATGTTCGGCTGTCTCCGATTCCATCCATCCGCAACAGGCATGGTGGTTCCACAAGGTTGTTGTTTTAATGTTATAACTTACTTTTTAGTCAATTCTTAAAATGATTTGTATACATTTATTTTACTAAAAAAATCTCTATTACAATTAAACTTGAAACAAACCTATAAATCTTGGTATTTCCCAATGCTATTGGTAAAAGAATGAAAACTTTAAAGAAATTAAACTTTTACCACGTGAGAGTTGGTAAATTTCAAGATTTCCTGAAGGACTTGAGAAGAGTCTGAAAAACTAAAAAAAAAATCATTTTACCAGATTTGTACCAAAGACCGTTGGTTAAAGTGCTTCCAATTTTATCAAAATCCCTTAGACTATTAGTAGTTATATTAATATATCGTGGACAGAATGTGGCACTGTCAAATCCCAAATTTGTAGGTGAAACATAAAAATGTTAAACAAATGATATTATAATTACATTTTTTTTTTTTTTTTTTTTTTTTAAGGTTAGCAAATGAAATTGTATTGTATAAAATTATAGTAATAAACAACCGAATATTGGGCCACAATATTATGACAAAATATTATAATCCTAAATTAAATACTTTTGGATTTAAGTGTTTTCACACTTTTTTGTCAATATATATAAACTGATTTTAAATAGATGTCAATTCCATAGAAAATAAGGAAATTTTAATAAACTGTATTTTTAAATAATTATTACTATTTATCATTTATTTGTTTCCCATATGCAATGCTATTCATTATACATAATAGATTAAGGATCTATTTGGGCTGCTACAAATTAGATTAATGCATTTTCAAAATTCTTTGGTATTTATTATTCTCCAATTGATATAGTCCCACAGAATACACTCCTCACTAAGAAATGGCCTACCCTAAACTAAGAAATGGCCATCCTTCAGTTAAACTTTCCCCTCTCCACACCTAACACCTCTGAGGATTAGTAGTGTCTCTAATGGGTGTTATCAAACTGGAGTAATTTACCTTATTTAAACAAACACACATTGGCCTATCAGGACAATTAATTTATAATTAATTGTCCTGATTGAACCTTCATATCATTTACAATATTATAATTTATTATAATATTTAAAAATTATAATTTATAATTTATAATATAAAATATTCACTATACAGAAAATCCAGAGCACCTTAGTGCTCAGATAGGGAACAGGCGGATTAGACGCTGTATATAACCTCCGTGAGCGTGCTGCAGCCCACAGAGGTCGCATATGGCCTCTATTAGTTTTTATGTTATTTCCATTAATCCATTGCTAGGATTGATTAATATTTAATTATTTAGGTTTCAATAGTTTGAAAGTTTACAGAATTAAGTCGATAAATAGCACAACCAACCCACAACCGAGATTAGACTACTGGGTGAAATCTGTTACCCACATGACTACCTTACAGTGAAACTTTAAAATTCAATTTAAAATGTTATGATTTGAACAAAATAAGCCTGACATGACTAAACACCATCCAAGGAAATTTTCTGGATTTCTTAAATGTAACATATATTAATGTTTTATTGTTTTATATATGCAATTCCTTAGGCCATACTTTAACTTTTATAATCAAAGAGATGGATGGGTTCAGTAATGAAATACACAGTAAAGTAAATTTTGGTTAGTTTGTGTCTACATTGAAGGCATTTATATTCACTCATGTAAGCTTGTTTATTTATTCTTCTTTTTTCTATGATTCTTATATCTTCATTTCAAGATTGATTTTTAGCCTTACAAAGGGATACAAGTAAAACTGAACTTATTTAACAAGCCTGAGATGACATCTGAGGAAATTTTAATCTGATGCTTATTTTCGAACAGTAGATAATGGAGCACAATGGATCCTTCAAGGATCGTGGTGCTTTAAGCGAACTAAGAATAATAATAAAAACCTAACTTAAAGTAGTATCATACCTTACTGTGTATTTCTTTTCTGACCAAACTCCAAAATTTTTATCTTTGGTTATTTTTATGGTGAAAAATAACTGAAACCTTAATTTTAATTATACTTCAAAATAAAATATTTATAATAAAAATCCATTCAGATGAAATATTTCATGTAATATACATAAATAGCTCTTTTAATTATAACAAAAATAACATTATTTAATTAATAACAAAAATCATGTAATTAAATTTATTTTTATTAATTGCTTATAGAAGTGGACTGGAGGACCCCAGTAAATTCCCTCCCAGCTTTCGGATCAGCCGAACTGGTTATCCCAGAAGTGGCCTAAGGTTTCGTCATCGGAGTACTCAATCCAAGCCTAAGATGCTACATGCTCTCAGGAGGGGTGCCTCTGCCCTGAAAGCCTCCATGCCTAAGATCAAGGATGTGAATGTAATTGACAAATACTCAAGAGTCGTCTTTCCTATCTCTTTCCTCATCTTTAATTCCATTTATTGGGTATTCTACATTGTATAACGATTCCTCACATCCTTGGTCTGCTCTGGCTGATCTCCCTCCTACAGAAATTTTACATCAAGGACACTACTCATAAGTTTCTGTGGAATCATTGTCTAGAAAGTAGGTATTTTTTATGTGCTTCAGAAAGAAATATAAAACTTTAAGACATGAAAACATAAACTAGAGATTTATTGTATTTTATTGCATCAAAATGTATTTATTGTTTTGTTTTTAAGACACAGATTGCAATATAAATATTAACATTAATATTAAAAATATATTCTATGTGAGTTGAATGTATCTTAATTTTATAGTTGTTTAAAATGTTACCTGATAAATATAATTTCATTTTTAAAATTTGTGATTCTATGTGGTCATTTAAATTAAAGAAAAAAATTGAATTACAAAATAAAATAATGATCTATCATTAATGAAAATTATTAAATTAATTGTTTTATGTTTGATAATACCACTTCCCTATCCATTTTATTCTGTTTTCAACTGAGTTAAAAAAAAAAAAAAAATCAGCAGCAGAGCTCCCTCACTAATGTTGTACATTCCTTATTTCTGTTTAGGAAACAAATGAAAAGTAATTTAACTGTTTCATTGATGTTTAGTCGTTGAAATTGAAAAAACAAAACCAAATTCTATTCAACAGCTGAATTTTTTTCCCATGATTTGTTTTGAACATTTAATAATTTTTTCCTCTAATTTATTATATCAACATCGTGGGATGGGAAAGAAACCTTGAAATGTATATAAGAGAATTCTCAAACATCAGCTTTATTAACATACGAATATTTCACATCTTTACTCTATTTGGACAGGCTGTAGAGTTGGCAATACCTTTAAAACTCTTAAGGAAAAAATGGCAGTGGCGGGAAAGAGAAGTTAAGACAAATGATTAAAGACAATTTTCTAATACCATAGGGGTGAGATAAAATCGTTAAACTTCCAAAATAAATATACATTGCATCAACCCAATTCATTTACAAATTTTTAACCGTGTGCCTCAATGGGAAAGGACTGTAGATGTGTCTAAAATTTTAAAAACTTGAAAAAAGTTCTACTACATGACAAAATTTTAAACGAAATACATCCTTGCTACAGTTTAGTTTTATAATCAATTCGAATTGGTGTGATTGAACTAAAGCTGATAATCTATATATTTATAGTTATCACAAGTGGATTGTTATCTAGAATAACTGTTGATCCAAATATGGGTAGATGTTAATCCAATGATGCCTTTAACAAAGGTACATTTCATTTAACTTTTCTTCCTCATAAATTTTTGTAGTAGCATTTGTTCATGTTTCTTTACCTACTTCATTTAAAACAAATGAATCTCTCTCATCACCATATCACAAATTTTCAAAAAATTAAAGGGTTTTTAAGATTTTTGGTAAGATTTTATAGCGCATTTCTAGTTGTGATAATATTTCAACAGCTATTCATATTCAATTACTAAGGATTGAAAATTTTAGAATCAGTTCACTCTCTATTGTCAACATTTCTTTAGTATTAATCTGCCACATCAGCATTTAATATTAACTTGAGGTGATTTGAATGCCATAATCAGCCAGAGGACTACACTATAGCTAGTCACTGGACAAACTAGCAGTACCATCCTTTCTTGTTATTATGTCCCATTCCTCTCTCTATATCTTGGCATTGTGCTCTGAGCCAGACCATGCGGCACAAATGCTAATGAACTTTTTGTCTGCATTGTCCTATACTTGTAAACAGACGCTGGTAACAAAATCCCTATGGTTTTCATATGAATGTGTTCATCTCCAAACCTTAGGATTTCATTTTTAATTATTTAAATGTTGGTGTAATCTAATGAACTGACAATCATTGGTAAGTTAAAACTTGTTTATCACAAAAGCTTTGCATGATTGAAAATCTTGTACTGTACTTGAGAAATAAATATAGTTGTTAGCTTTTTGTAAAATATTATTCGTTACATAATTCTTAAATGTCGTGGAATGGTCTCCTCTTCACTTACTAAGCTTGGATTATCAGTACAACATAAACGTTTTTAAATAACTTAATTTAGTGTTTTTTCAAGTGTTTCTTCAGTAAGTGACAGAAATAATCACATTAAAACTTAGATATTAGCTGTTTCAAAATTCATCAGACCTTTTCACTTAATCCAAATTCTTCTTTCATCTTAACTGGTCTTTCTTTTTCATTCATACAACTACCATCTTGAAGTCAACTAACAAATTAAAAGTATCCCAAGTAACAAAAGTGAAAGTATCCCTTCTCAGATTAAAAGATAAATAAATGTAGTTTTAATAACACAAAGATTAATTGTTTAATAACAATGGTATAACCTTTTTAATTTTTTGCTTTGGAAAAAAATTGAAATTTGAGTAGCTTCTGGTTGGTTGAGTAGTCTCCATTACTACCAGCCATTATTCTATAGTTAATTTCTTTCCTACATAAATTCTCATTATTTGCAGCAGAACAAGGATACATGCTATACGAATATGAGCACACTTTTAAAGATGAAATTATTGATTTTAATGTTGCTGCAGGATCTGCTACTTGCTGCAATGGATAATGTCAGATATTTTTGTTATATCTTCTCTGACATGAAACATACTTATTACCATTTTCATATATTTCAAATGTATCTGTTAATGCCTTTTCATTTCTTACCATTCATCAGCAAAACCACAAATATGGCATATTTCGTCAACAATATAATACTTTTAGTTTCATTTTTCATAGCAGCATGCAGAGTTTTGTTTGAGGTAGAGTTGCTGACTAGAGGTATTATTGACGAATACCAGATTGCACTCTAAAAGATTCTTCAGCTGTATTTTCAGTTACAACTTTTGGTGAAGTATTTTCCACAGTAATGTCTACTTAATTGACTAAATTATGTGGTATATTATTTTTCACTAGAACCTTTAACTAAGTTCACCTTATAATACAATGTAATGTTTGTGTATGTAGTGTATGAATACTAAGTGTGCACTAAGTGTACGAATATCAATATAATATTCATATTATTTTAATATCCAGTGCTGACATAGAAAAGTTTATATATATTTGTTTTTTTTAAATGCTCCATTTATCGGTTATTGTTCCAGCAAGGTTTTCTTACTGTTTACTGTGATATTTTCGTCATGTTGACCAATTTGTTATTAGGTTAATAACATAATAAACATCCACATTAATAAAGAATATCTGCATATCTTAGAATAACTGTTTACTTTGTGTGAAATACCTTATTAATCAACTAAACAGAACCAATTTATTAATACTTATCAACTGCTTTCAATATAAATTTTGCCCATCCAAATTGTAGGATGATGGGGAGCCCGGGATATACAATATAACTGTTTTCTTGTGTGAAATGTTGTAAGATATTTTGTGAGAAGATTTTTGGAATGGTTTTAAGCTATTAATACTGTTTACCCTCTTATTTTTAAATTGAATCTTTGTCAACGATGAGGTATTAATTTTAATGGGTTAGTATTGGAGCAAATTCATCAAAGAAATACAAAGTAAAGTAGGCTTGTCTCGTACAATATTTTATCTTTCTCTTGACACCGTTGATCTCATCCTCTAGTTCTGCTCTCCTCTGACTCAACAATGCCATCTCCTCCAGTTCAGAAGGGTATAACCAATGGGCTGTTGATGATGAAGGTTGTATTGGGTGTAACCGATGGGCTGTTAATGACCCATAAATTTCCTCTCAGGTTATCTGTAAGAGGGAACGGGGTGAGCGAGCGGGATAACGCTTAGGCAAAACAAGCTTTGCTCAGGAGCCAATCATATGATAAATGGAAGGTTCTTCTCCCTTCTTCTCCCTTAGTTACTACACCTATCAATATGCTGGGTTTAGTTACCACCTTCTACACTGATAATCTACCTAGTATGGATCTTGCAGAATAATTCGGGAAAAAACAAGAAGCTTCCTACGATATTGCGATATTGGCCAAGAATATTATTCTGAACTCTCTGAGGATTATAAACCATAACTGTCACTGCACTGGTGGATCATTGGTGATGGGAGGGGGGAGCTTTCAAGCTGAACCTCCCAAAAAAAGTTGTTTTTCATTGGTCCTTTTTTTTATGTAAATGATCTAAACTAAATACTTAAACAAATCACAGTATATTCTCCTTTTAAATTATTTTTTACCTCCATTTTTAATTTGTTATGAAACGTTTTTATCTTTTTCCTCTAGAATAATTATTATTTAGAATAAATAAATAAAATAAAATATTTGAATTTTTTTTTATTTTTTATAAATGCTTCATTTCAAGTCATGATATTAGAAAGGATTCCAAACAGAAAAAGAAAAGAAAAAGATTTATGAGAGTGAAAGATTGATTAAAATTAGCGAAAGGACAAAAACACATCAAAGAAATGTTTCATCATAAAGAATAACGCTTCCTCATTTACTCTAGACACTGCAGTTATAGGAATATCTGTGTGAATTCAATATTTCATTAATAATGGTATAAAGTCTATTTGTTTCATGGTAATTAAGAGACTGTTTTTTTTTGTTATGCCCTATTAAAGCAAAGCAGCAAGATATAATAAAAAATTAGTACTGAAAATAATTCTGATAATCAATGATGACAAGAATAAGTATGCTGTATGATACGATTTGGAACAGTCCTCATAAATCAGATTTAATTTTACCCTGTACTATCATTATGATAATATCCAGGAGTATCATATCTTGCACCATTGTGATAAAATAGTCATTGGTCTCACTATATGAATCATTAAATACCCTTTTCTGAGATTATTTATTATTTTATTTTCTCTAATCAAAGAACTTTTCTTTTTTTTTTTAATCATGGTATTTACAACTGTATAAAAATGAAAATACATCTAGTAAATGTGTACATAGGAATATAATCACATGAAAACACTTGTTGAGAAACCAGCCACTGGTAGCCGTCTAATAATTTCATTACATAAGAAGATCATGCGGCCATCTTATTTTCAGAAGCCTTGTGCCATTTTTATAGAAGGATAGGTATCTGGA